ACATCATCATCATCATCATCATCAACATCATCACCATCATCATCATCATCATCATCACCAACACATCATCATCATCATCATCATCAACATCATCATCATCATCATCATCATCAACACATCATCATCATCATCATCATCACATCATCATCATCATCAACACATCATCATCATCATCAACACATCATCATCATCATCAACACATCATCATCATCATCATCATCACATCATCATCATCATCAACACATCATCATCATCATCAACATCATCATCAACACCATCATCATCATCATCATCATCATCACATCATCATCATCATCAACACATCATCATCAACACCATCATCACATCATCATCATCATCAACACATCATCATCATCATCAACACATCATCATCATCATCATCATCACATCATCATCATCATCATCAACACATCATCATCATCATCATCATCACATCATCATCATCATCAACATCATCATCATCAACATCATCATCAACATCATCAGCACATCATCATCATCATCATCAACATCATCATCATCATCATCAACATCATCATCATCATCATCATCATCAACATCATCATCATCAACATCATCATCATCATCACCAACACATCATCATCATCATCATCAACACATCATCATCGTCATCATCATCAACACATCATCATCATCATCAACACATCATCATCGTCATCATCATCATCATCATCATCTCATCTCTTTCCATTTACTTTTGGATAGTTTCTATTGCTATGCCAAGTTCCTCAATCTTTTTTTATTCAATGTCTAATCTGCTCTTAATCCTATCTGATGTATTCTTTATCTCAGACACTGTAGTTCTTATCTCTAGAGGTTGGATTTGGGGTTTTCTTTATATCTTCCATGTCTATAATTAACTTTTTGAACATATGGAATACAGTTATAATAATCATTTTAATGTTCTTGTCTACTAATTTTAATATCTGTGTCAGTTTAACTGATTTTTCTTCTCATTATGGGTTGTATTTTCCTGATTATTTTCATGACTTGTAATTTTTTATTGGATGGTAGACATTGTGAATTTACCCTCTTGTGTGCTGGATATCTTTTCTTATTCCTAGGAATATTCTTGAGCCTTTTCTGGAATACAGTTAAGTTACTTGGAAATAGCTCAATCTTTTTTGGGTCTTGCTTTTAAGATTAGTTAGGCAAGTTGAGAGCAGTGCTCGGTCAAAGGCTAATTATTCTCCTACTGAGGCAGGACTTTCATATACACTATGCCCAGCGCCCTGTGAATCGTGAGGTTTCTCGTCTGGCTGGGAACAGGGACTGTTCCTGACCCCGTGTGACTGCAGGATACTGCTCCCTCACACGCTTTTGGCTGGCTCTCCCCTGCCTCTGGTAGTGCCCTCGCATCATGTGCTGATCGATGCTCTGCTGAATGTCCAGCGGACTGAATATTCTCCAGTTCTTTCTGAATCGTTCTTTCCTCTCTCATACTCTGTCCTGCAAAGTCTGGCCACTTTGTTCTGCCCCCACTCTCGGTCCCATTTCCTCAACTCGGGGATGGTGTCAGGCTCCGCCTGAGCTTCCCCTCCCTCTGCTGCTGCCCGGAAACGCTCAGACAGCGGTGTCTTCACGGAGCTCACCTTGCTTGTCTCCGTCTCTCAGGCATCACTGCCCTTTGTTTCTTCATATCCGCTGTCTTGAAACCATTGCTCCACGTATTTTGTCTGGTTTTCCAGGCTGTTTCAGACAAGAGGGTAAACCTGATCCTCATGCCTCCGTATTGGCCAGGGTGGCATCCACAGAGTTGCATTTCTTTCCCATGAACATATTCAGACCTCGCAGTCCCATTACTCCTTTGAGTCTGTTTCTGAACTGTTTAGTGTGGGCTCTGTGAGTGGTGGGCTCCAGTGACTCAGCAGCAGCACCTCTGTGCCTCAGGGGCAGGGCCACTGCCTCTCCTTCCATATGCAGAGCTGGCTCTGCGGCAACCTGCCTTCCAGGCAGGCCTTCTCGATTGCACACCTCTTTGTGTTTTGGCTGGAGAAAGGTCCCCGAGGGGAGGCAGCATGAGACCCCCGGCCTGGGGAGGGGCGACTGCTCTGGGCCCCTCAAGTCACAGCCTCACCTCAGTTCTCAAGGCCCTTGGGGGCTTTGATCCCTGGGGAGCATTTGTTTCTGCTTCACCTTCTCTGCCGAGAGGTGTGTCTTTGGTGTCTGGCCATCTTCCTCTGCTTTCCTTCCTTTCACTTGCGCTGGTCTTATGGGTGGTCCCTCTCCTCCTGACACGCGGTAGGGCCGCAGGCCGGACACCTTCCTTCACTTCCCTGGAGTTTTAGCCCCACAGCAACCTCCCGAGAGAGCCCTAGGGTTTGCCTGGGGGCCCCTGGAGTTCTGGGTCCCCCGGAAGCACCCACTAAGCACCTTCCCCTTCCTGGGCGCATTGTCCCCCTGGGGTTACTCCCTCCACCTGACGTATCACCAGGCCTGAATGCCATCTGTCACACCTGGGGACAAGCCATGACCCGGAGCACAGGAGGGAAGCTGGGCTGCTGGCTCCATGGGGCGCAGGGCTCCCCAGGGCTCAGTGGCTCGCATGGGGTCAACTCTTACTGGCCTGAAAGTCTCTACCTGCACACCTGGCCTAGTGAAGACAGCAAATACCTCTCAGCCCCCAGTGCCTGAAAGTGAGACCCCAGCTCCACCGACATCAGGCCAACTGCCCTGCGTGGCACTTAGTCCAGCCATAGTGGCCCGGGCCCTGACCAAGGCCCACCTGTGCCAGTGCAGCCACTTGCCTGTACAGAGCCCTGGGCTGCCATGACCTCAGGGTCATGCCCAGGGGCCCCCAGCGTGCCTTTTCTGTTGCTCATCTTTGAAGAGGGTGATGGGGCTGCTGGCTTGCCAGAGGAGGGGCTCCCCTGCCCCTTTGTTGGCCAGGTGGGACAGCAGCTGCCCACACTCAGGTGCAGCCTGCTCCCCTGACCTGGGCCCCACTCTTGACACCCAGCAGACAGTTCTGAATGTGGCTCAGCAGTGGGCCCACCACTCACCAGGGGGCTAGTTCCCTGACCGAACTGGGGCAAGATAGTGAGGACCCTTCCCCACACTGTGCAGCTCCAGAGAACCACCCCCGCCACGCGACCTCCCACAAAGCCTGACCCCGTGCCAGGGGACCCTGTGGCACTTGCCCTCCTTCCTCTCCCCAGGGAACATTTTCAGCAACTTCTGCCGGCAACCCCCCGCGTCCATGTCCAGGTCGGTCCTGGAGACCCTGACGCTCTCCACTGCCATGAAGTGTGCCCCCCGTAACGGCTGCTCCCTGCTCCTGCGCGTGCATGCCTCCCTCACGCTGCATGGTGAGAGGCGGCCTTGAGGGCCGGGCTGACCGTGATGGTGGTAACACCCAGGCAGTGGGGCGCTGGGCTCGGGGCTCCACAGCAACCTGGGAGGCTGGGCGGGATGGGGACCCTGCTAACTGCACTTGGAAGTGGGGGGGTGGATCTCATCACCATGGTCTGACTAGCCCTGCTGGCCCCTCCCTTCACCCAGAGAGCCTGCGGGGCCTAGAGGCCTGTTCCATGACCCTCGACACCCAGGAGATCCAGTGTCAGATCGTGCGGGTCTCCAGGGCCTCCCGCCAGATGCAGGTGGGGCAGCAGGTGAGGCCAGGGCCTGACTCACATCTGCTGGTCCAGCCCCAGGCTTTGCAGGGCAGCAGAAGCTGTCCCGGCCTGCTCCTCGCTGCCCTCACCTCCTGGCCACCTGCTTCACAGCCTGGCCTGGGGTTCTGCCATGCAAGCCCCAAGGAATGGGTGCCCCTCCTGCTCTGCCCCCAGACTCTGGGTTCCACCTGTGCAAGGTGGAGCTGGCCTGTCCAGGTGTGGGTGGGCAGTGGCCCCAGGTCCACCCGGCTCACACCTGTACCTGCCCAGCTCCAGGTGCACTTTGACTGCTTCGAGGTGAGCGTGGCCCAGAGCCTCTACGTCACCCTGAGGACTGTCCCCCACTTCTGCGGGGTCCAGCTAGACCAACAGTACCACGTGGAAGGTGGGAGCCCATGGAGCCATCCTGGGCACAGCTGCCATCCAGCCTCTAAGGACTGACTTGGGGTGGGACTTGCCCAAGGCCGGGGGCAGGAGGCAGGGCCCCGTACTGGACAGCTCCCAGCAAGCACATTTGGCTTAATTCAGGGTCACAGCCTCCCTGGAGAGGAGGAACTTCTGGAAACCACATGGACAGAGGCCCAGCTGTGGGGATAGCCCCTGGGGGTAGAGCAGGGTAGGTCCACCATTGTCTCTGTCATTTGCAGACTGCAGAGATGAGGACATGAGGAGGAACGTGCCAGACTGCTTTGGTGAGGCCCAGACCTGGGAAGACCCTCGGCTTGCTCCCACTGGGGTCTTCTGCCTCCACTTGGGAAATCTTGATAGGGTCCTCTAGTGGGAAATGCCTGGGTCTAGCAAAGGTCACCACCTGGAGAGTCTCACGTGGAGCCCTGTGTCCATGACCCTGTGTCCGGTGACCTCTAGTCCCACCTTGGCCCCCACTTGCCGCCCTCCTGCAGCCAGGAAGCTCTCCTACTGGGTGGACCGCAGCCGTAAGGTGGTTCTGGTGCAGGTGCCGGAAGCCCCTGGGGGTCCCGACTACTATGTGCGACTCTGCTTCAAGTGGTTCATCTGCGAGGATGCGGGCGCCCTGGTGCAGGTGAGCCCCACCCTAAACCGCGCCCCAAACCACGCCCCGCCCACCAGACGCCCCTTCCGCCCAGAGCGACGCCCACAGCCCCGCCCCCGGCCCAAACAAGCCTCGACCACGCCCCTAGCCCCGCCCACTCCCGTCCCAGGCCGTCAGCCCCAGACCAGGCCCCACGCCCCGCCCTCCGGGCCCCAGCCCCTAAACCCTCCGCTTCGCTGCAGGTGACAGCGAACAGCGTCTCCCAGACCATCTCTCTGCCCTACAGCCAAGAGCTGCCATGTCTGTGCCTTGAGGTCAGTGAGGGTGTGGCCTCGACTGCTGGGAGGGGACAAAGGAATGGGCAGGCCCTGCGCTGACCCCAGCCCCTCCTGCAGGGCTGGTCTGCCACCCCTGACGCAGTGCGGACCCAGACCTGCCCCTTTGAAGATGGCAAGTGCCTTGTGGTGCTGAGGGAAGGGGAGGAGGCAGGGAGGAGAGGAGTGGGAGATGCGCGGGTCAGAGTTGCCCACAGGATCTTCCCACCCAGTCTGTCTGGGAGGGCTGACACTGGGGGATGAGGCCTGGGGGCAGGCCCAGCCTCAACCCTTGAGCCTGCTGTGGACAGCATGCGGCCAAGGGTGTGTCCTGGGCAAACCCCTCCAGGTGGCAGAACCTGTGCATGGACCTGCGTGTGCACAAGTGTGTGCGTGTGTGTGCCTGGTGTACGTGCATGCACATGTGATGGCCTGGCTCACCTGGAAGACCCAAGTCTTGCTGAGCGGGGCTCTCTTAGGGGTACAAGAGAGACACACTGCACATGCACATGCTCGCACACACAGGTTGGGTCCAGGGCCCAGACGCCCATGGGAGAACTGCACCTGAGTCCCTGGACCTGGCCCAAGGGTCTCTCAAGCAGGTGTCAGGTCCTGTGGCCCACTGGCAGCTGAGGTAGGGCCCAGCTGACTAGAGCCTTGGGGGGAGGGTCCCTGCAGACACGGAGGCACTGTGGGATGCCATCCACTACGACCCAGGGAGCCAGGCACTGAGCTGGGAGCCCGCCTGTCCTGTGAGTGGCCATGTGAGTCTGTGCTGGCGCCCAGGGCCAGGGGTCCACTGCCACGAGCTGGAGCACTCGGGCCGGCCTGCACATGGTAGGGTGAGTGCCCGCCAAGGGGGGATGGGGGTGGGCATGGATGGCCAGGGCCCTGACTTGAGCCCCCCTCAGGTGCAGTACCCACTAGTGGACACACAGCCCCAGCTCTGCCTGAAGGTGAGTGGGCCGGGCCACAGCTGCCATGTGCACTACCTGAGCTTGGGTAGGGGGCGAGCAGGCACACAGAGGGGCATTGGGGCAGGGGGCTGTAGTCACACACCCCTATGCCTTGCCCGACCCTGGGGTCCAGCCTCCCAGTGGCCCCTCTAACCCCCTCCTGGTCTGAAGGTGGATAGAGCTAGGACTCAGGGTGGGGAAGCCTCACAGAGGGCAGCAAACAAGGCGCAGCTTATCCCAGCCCCCAACACCCCTACCCAGCCTCCACATGCATATGTCTCGTGGCCTCTCTGCAGTTCTCCACCAGCCTGGGCTCCTGGGTGAAGTGCCCTTTTGAACAGCAGCGCTTCCCAGGTGAGCTCTCCACGGGTCAGCGGGCAGGGGACTGGTTCGGTGCCTTTGCTGTGTGGATGCAACAAACAACGCCCTTTTCTTCGCGGTCAGGGAGTCAGGACAACGGGGTTCTGGGTGAGTGGGAGGGAGGAGGGGAGGCAGGTGGGGTGCTTGCCTCACCCCTCCATCTCTGCAGCCTGGAAGATGGCCGTCCAGCCAGCGTCCTCTCCGAGCCACCTCCGGATCACCTTCTTCTCACCCAGCCCCGCCCGCTTCCAGGTGCACCTGTGTCATGGAAGGAAGATGTGGCCGCCTGCCTGCCGCCCAGCACTCCCGGCCATCCCCCTCCCTCCAGCCTCTGTGAGAGCCGGGTGGGGTGGGCGCCATCCTGGGGAAAGGGCTGACCCCTCACTTCTCTGCAGTCTTCTTAACCTCCCTGGAGGCCGCCTGGCGGGGATGGTGCCAAGAGGGACATGGTATAGTCTGGTCTGCCCCTCCTGCTCCACCTGTGATAGATCCCTCTCCCGACCCAGGGTAACCTCACAGCTGACCCTGCAGTTGCCTTCGTGGACATTCCTGGGGACGAGGCCTGTGCACCTGACACCTGCATCCAGGTGGGGAGTGCTGCCCCACCCAGCACCCCAGCCCCCACCCACCTACTCCACTCTCAGACCTCAGCTTCTACACCCACCCCTTCCCGTCATCAGCCGCCAGGGGAGCTCCCACCTCCCTGAAGCTGCCCTAGGGCCCTGGCCTGCTCTGGGGGCCCCCTTGGCACAGCAGTCTCACTGGGCAGTCCCTCTGTGGGCTGCAGCAGGGTGCAGGAAGGGGCTGCAGGCCGTGCTGACCAAGCTGTCCCACGTCTGCAGGGCCGGAGGACCGATGTGCACTTCTCTGCCCCCCAGCAGCTGTGCGACCTCCAGTGCAGTGAGTGCTGGAGTTGGGCCTCGGGCTGGAGGGGTGCTGGGACAGGCAGGCACTCAGGGGCGGCGGGAGGCCAAGGGCTGGACCCCAACTTCTGCTCTGAGCCTGGCCCCTGGTGTCCCTGTCTCCCACTGTCAGGGTGGGTGTGGTGTGCACTGCACAGGAGACTGGGGGTAGGTGGGGGACAGAGGGGCCACCAGCCTCGGAGTTAGGCCAGGTCTCCAAGCCAAGGTGGAGGCAGGCCAGACAGGAGGCAGAGGCCTGGTCCCACCTCTGACACGGGGTCTTGGCCCCTCTGGCCTCCCCAGCACCCTTCCCTGGCCTCACTGTGTCAGTGGTGCTGTTTCCTGATCCCTGAGTGTCCACCACCCTGACCAGGGCTCTGGTTCTAACTGTCCAGGAACTCGGGATGTCATTCCATCCACCGTCACCCTGCCAGCCACTGAGGCCCAGACTCCTGGGGCCTTGGCTTGGCAGGAGACAGAACTAACCATGGGGGCCTGGGTGTGGGCCTGGGTGTGGACCAGGAGGGTGGCCTCTGCCTGGGAGCCCAGGAGGCCAGTGGGGTGTGAATGGGAGCAGGCGACCTCCCTTCTAATGCAGAAGCTCTCCTGGCTGCTGGGTGGAGGGTGGACTGCAGGAGCCAGGCAGGAGGGGCCGCGGGGTGAGGGGGGCAGCATCCAGGGCTTCTCATGGCCCTTCACTCTGATGGGTGCCAGGGTCTCAGAACCGCCTCGGGGCTCAGCTAGGTCACAGCACCTCCAGGCCAGCCCCAAGCCTACCCTTCCCCTAGAAATGCCCCAGGGCCTGCAGAGGGTCCAGCAGAGGGCCCAGCAGACCTGCACCCTCCATCTCCCCTCACCCCACAGCGGAGCTTTGCAGCCAAGTCTGGGTCCCATTCCCCAGCAAAGGTCACCTCCAGCAGCTCACAGGCCAAAGGGGTGAAGGTCATCCCTGGGGGCCTGGTGTCTGGAGCTCCACTACCTGCCACCCAGGTGACCACCCAGTAACCGGCCACTGCCCAAGCCCCACTGCCGCACTGGGCAAGTCCCAGGGTCCCAGGGACAGGCCTGTGAGCTATAGGAGAGGCTGGGCCCTGCTTAAGTGAGAGGCATCTGGGGGTGTACATACTCCTCTTGTGGTCTGGGCAGGCTGCCCCTGGAGACAGGACATGTGCCTGCTGCCATGGGCACTGGCTCTCCAGGACCAGGTGGCCAGGGAAGGGCCTGCCCAGTGAGCCCTGCATTGGGGTCAACAGCTCCCTGTCCTTCCTCTGGCCCCACAATGGTCCCGGGCTGGGTACAGGTGTGTCCCCAGACAAGGTCAGTACTGGGCCACAGAGCCAGCCTCCATCCTTCTCTTCCCAGCTGCCAGCCGGCGAACAGCAGACTGAGGCTGGGTGTTGTGTCAAGAACAAGCAAGCAACAGAGCTGGACTGCTGGGGTGCGGCAGGGGGCCAGCTCGCATCTGGGCACTCCAAGCTCTAACAGCAAAGGCCACACCTCAGGGCGTGGGAATGGTCTCACCTGGCCCCAGGTGTGGGGCCCAGGCACCTTCCAGTTCTTCAGAGGCGTGCAGCTCCACGGGAGCCCTCAGGCTGGGCCTGCAGCCCCTGCCTGAACCCCCTGGGTGGGGACCAACAGAATGGCTGGGCGGGATGCCCTCTGCCCCAGACAGCCCAGACCCTGACCTGCCCTGTCTCAGCTTGATCCAGGCTCCCTCTGGACAGCCCATGGTCACAGCCACCATCCCTAGCCCTGAGGTCCAGCACCTGGCCCTGCCCCCTGGGTGCGAGAGCTGTCCCCGGCCTCTGGAGTGCAGGTGTGACCCCATCCTTTCTGTAGGGGTCTCAGGACCGTCTCCAGCTCCTGCTTGAACACCCCCTTGCTGGTGGGGGTCCACAAGCTGGGCACTTCCTGCTGCCCAGGCTAGGCTTTCACCCAAACCCCACCTCACAAGGCCCCCAGCTCTCTCTCCACTGTCCCTTCAAGGACTCTGCTAAGAACCCGGGGCTGCCTGCCACCTGCAGCACCCACCCTGACCCAACCTCCCCAGAGGTCAGGCCACCTTCCACGCCCCAGCCCCCAACCTGGCCGGTTCAGTGAAAGCTGGCCACTTCCACTGGCCTCCAGGGCCACCTGCCAGGACATGCCATTCTCAGACATGTCACACTCACTGAAGGCCACCATGTGCCATCTGTGCTCAAGGACCACAGAGGGACCCTTGACCCTGCCGTGTGACTTTTGGACCCCAGGCCAGGGGTCACTAGAAGTTAGCCCACCAGCTCAGCCCTCACAGAACTCTCATGCCAGCTCACAAAGACCACCCAGCTGCCCGTCCAGAGTCTGGGCATCTCTCTACCTGTCTGCAAATGCACTCCTACCTCCAGGCCCTGGGTCACCTGTCCCTCCTTCAGCCGGCCACAGGCCACTGGGCCTCCGGTCCCTCCCTCATGGGCGCCTGCCCCGGCAGACGGGGGCGTGGGAAAGCCAGCTCGCCTGCTCACTCAGTAAACACCTGTCCACCTGGCTCACCTCTTCCCTTGAGGACAGAGAGGGGGTCTGCAGGGCAAGGTAGCCCCTCTGGGCATGTGGTGGGGAGGATTTCGGGGCCAGGTGTTAAAATGGAGCCAAGGTCGTGCCTGCCGCCAGGGGCGGGGGCGGAACCACAGACACCAGATGGAGCCTGCCTCCCCCTGACGTGGGAGCCCTCTAGGCTGTACCCAAGGACATCTGGGACCCCAACGCCCCCCCTACTGTGTGTGTGGGAAGGAGGGGGCGTCTGTCCACACAGAGGCCACCCCCTCCTGCTCAGCCCAAAGCCCCCCCCCCCATGATTGATTGGGGGGGACCCACCCCTTTCTGGAAGCCTTTCCCCTTTCTCCCTGCACCTGTGTGCCCATAAAGAGGCTGATGAGGGGCACTCTGGGTACCGAGGCCAGGGGCTGGAAAACGAGGTGGGGCCGGAGCAGGGAGGCCGCACCCTCGGACATCAGGCGCCCCCACCCCTGCCCAGGTCAGGGTGGTGGGGCAGGCTGCGGCTCTGTGCTCTCCACGTGTCCTCATTGTGTGGGACAGGACGAGGTCCTCTGGAAGCCCCTGTCCACTCCTGGTGTCTCCTCTTCATCGAGGCACAGGGTCTGGTGGGGGACCAGAGTCCGGGCTCTGGTTGGGTCGCCCGCCTGGAGTTCCTGCTCCCACCCCTGTACCATCCTGGGGCAGCCTGGCCAGGCGTGTAGACCCCGCCCTGACCCAGAGCCACCCTGAATCTTGCCCACTGGAGGTGGAGAGCGGGGACAATTTTCAGGAAGTGGTCACAGGAGCTGACCGCGTGCAGGCTCCTTCAAGACTTCAACACAGCCCTGGCCATCCACAGATGCAGGAAACTGAGGCCCCAACAGAAGCAATGACTTCCCTCCTTTCCAGGACTGAGGGTGTTCAGGGCTGTAGGCAATGGGGTGAGGAGGGGCATGCTTGGGCCCAGCTACCCACGTCTGCTGCCACCAAGTGGTGCTCAGTGCCCGGGTCTGATGACCTCCATCCCACCTCCGCTCAGGATCTGGGACCACACCCTGTGTCCCACAACAGACCCACTCACTTGGCCAGTAACTGCCCCCACCCCAGCCAGAGACTCCATCCCCATCTCAGGCCTTCCCTGCCCAGGAGAAAAGTGCTGGTGAACTGGGGCCCAGGATGGGGAGTGACTAAGGGAGGTGGCAAGGTGGCCCAGGCCAGGGTTCGAAGTTTGACTGACACTGTGTGCCTTGTTCACATTCATTCACTCAAGCAGGTGCTGAGCACCCACAGGTGCCGCACTGACCCGGCACCAGGACCAAACGCTGACGAAGATCCTGCCCCTGCAGCTGGGGACCGAGGCTGGGTGTGCTCGTGACTGAGTGGTTCCTGGGGTCAGGATTCCCAGCCCTAAAGCCAGGCACCTGGAGCTGACCTCTGCATGGGGGAGACAGGCCACAGACAGGCAAACACAGAAATTGTGTGGGGCGAGCAGGGCCGGTGTCAGGCTGGAAGAAGGGGGCTGGGAAAGCAAACAGGAAGTTGGGGGGGCCATGTAGAGCAGGGTGGTCCCCGCCTCTCGTGAACAGACTGCAGACTCAAGGGGCGGCAAGCTGTCTGGTTCTAACAGCATCTGAAGGTGAGAGGTGGGGTGTGGCAGGCAGGGGCCACAGGGTGACCCTGCACAGGTCGGAGCAAAACAGATGTTTTGGCCTCCGTGACTGGAGGATGGAGCTCCGCTGGCTGAGATGGGGATGCGGCAGCGGGAGCTGGGTTTGGATTTTGTAAGTTTGAGCCATCTGCTAGACGTTCATTCATCCAGTCACCAATGCTTACATAGTGCCTGCCGTGTACCTACTCCCTCAGTGATCAAAACAGATGCAGATCCCTGCCCGAAGCAGAGGACAGAGGCAGAAACATAAAAAATGAGTGAACTATCTAGGATGTATTCAGAAAGAAAAAGCGGAGCAGAGAAAGGGAAGGAGATGGTTGTGGGGCAGCACGGCAGGGTGGGTCCATGCAGGATGTGATAGGGATGTGGGAGTTAGTGGACACAAGTGGAAAAACAATTCAAAATAAAGATTCCTGCCAACCCAGTGAGTCCTCTCCACAAAGGTCGAAAAGAAACAGTTTTATTTTTGAATAAGCATTAAGAGATGGCAAAGACAGAAATCCCCCCCTTTCATACAAGCCAGGTGCAACCCGTTCCACATGTGATCTCAAGAGAAGTGATAGCTTGTCCTCAAGAGCACTTGACATAGAGCCTGTTTCGTGTGCGGATAGCATCTCCCAGCTCTCTCTGGTTACATTTGCAGAGAATGTCCTATTCCATCCTTTCAACCTCTTTGTGTCTTTGTATCTAAAGTGAGTCTCTTGTGCACAGCATGTAGATGGGTCGTGTTTTTTAATGCACTCTGCCTGTCTCTGCCTTTTAATTGGAGAGTTTAATCCATTTACATTTAAAGTGATCACTAGAAAGAAAGGATTTACTTCTATTTAGTCTCTTGTTTTCTCTATTTCTTATATAGTTTTTGTTCCTCAATTCCTCCATTACTGCCTTTTTTGGTATTTAGTTGATTTTTTGTAGTGTACCATTTTGATTTCCTTCTTTTTCTGTATATTTTTTCAGTATTTTCTTAATGGTTTCCTTGGGAGTTACAATTAAAATCTTAAACTTATAACAACCTAGTTTGAATAATACCAATTTAGTTTCGCTAGTATACAAACACTGCTCCTATACATTTCTATCTCTCCCCCATTGTCACAGATATGTCTTTATATACTGTGTGCCCGTTAACATAGATTTAGAACTGTTGTTTCATGCATTTGCCTTTTAAATCATATAGGAAACAGAAAGAGATGTTACAAACCAAAACTGCAATAGTACTGGCTTGCATATTTTCCTGTATAGTTACCTTTACCAGTGTTCTTTATTTCTTGATATGGCTTGGAGTTACTGTCTGTTGTCCTTTCATTTTAGGTTAAAGGACTCTCTTTAGCATTTCTCATCGGGCAGCTCTACTTGTAATGAGCTCCATAAACTTTTATTTAGCTGGAAATATCTTACTTTCTCCATTTTTGAAAGATAGTTTTACTGGATATAGAATTTTGGGTTGACAGGTTTTTTTTCTTTCTTTCAGGACTTTAAAGCTGTCATCCCACTGCTTTCTGGTCTCCAAGGCTTCTAATGGGAAATCTGCTGAAAATCTTACTGAGGAGCTCTTGTATGTGACAACTCAGTCACTTCTCTCTTGCTGCTTTCAAGATTCTCTCTTGAGAATCTTGGCTTTTGACAGTTTGGCTATAACGTGTCTGGATGTGGATCTCTTTAACTTTATCCTACTTGGAGTTTGTTGAGATTCTTGGATATATAGATTCATGTAGTTCATCACATTCGGGAAGTTTAGGGCCATTATTCATTCAAATATTTGTATATCCCTTCTCTCCCCTCTTTCTAGGATTCATATGATGTGTATGCCAGTACTCTTGATGGTGTCCCATAGGTCTCTCTAGCTTTTCAATTTTTCTTCATTCTTTTTTATTTCTGCTCCTCAAACTGGGTAATTTCAATGGCCTTATCTTCAAATTTGCTGATCTTTTCTTCTGCCTGCTCAAATATGTTATAGAACCTCTCTAGTGAATTTTTCATTTTGGCTATCATACTCTTCAGCTCCCGATTTTCTATTTGGTTTCTTTCTAAAATTTTTCTTTATTGCTAGTCTCTATTTGTTTGTACTTTGTTCTCCTGATTTCCTTTAGCTCAATGAACATATTAAAGGCAGTTGATTTAACATCTTTGTCTATCAGTTCCAATGTCTGGACTTCTTCAGAGATGATTTCTGTAAAATTCTTTTTTTCCTGTGGGAAAAAAAGTTGAAGAAAAGGAAACACTTCCTAATTCATTCTACAAGGCCAGCATTACCCTGATTCCAAAGCCAGAATGACACTACCAGAAGAAAACTACCGTTCAATATCACTTATGAGTATAGATGCAAAAATCCTCAACAAAATACTGGCAAGCTGAATTCAGAAGCTTATTAAAAGGATTATGCACCATGACCAAGTGGGATTTATTCCAAGAATGCAAGGGTAGTTCAACATGCAGAAGTCAATCAGTGTAATACACACATTTATAGAATGAAGGAAAAAACCATATTGTCATCTCAATTGATATAGAAAAAGCATTTGACAAAATCCAACACCTTTCAAAATAAAAATGCTCAATAAAATAGGAATAGACAGGAACTTCTCTAACCTGATAAAGACCATATACGACAAGCCCACAACTGACATCATACTCAGTGGTGAAGGACTGAAAGCCTTACTCTTAAGATCAGGAACAAGACAAGGACGCCCACTTTCAACATTCAAAAGGGTACTGCACATTCCACTTGGGCGGCCCGGGGTTCGTTGGTTCGGATCCCGGGTGTGGACATGGCACCGCTTGGCACGCCATGCTGTGGCAGGCATCCCACATATAAAATGGGGGAAGATGGGCATGGATGTTAGCTCAGGGCCAGTCTTCCTCAGCAAAAAGAGGAGGATTGGCAGCAGATGTTAGCTCAGGGCTAATCTTCCTGAAAGAAAAAAAGGTACTGCAAGTGCTAGCCAGAGCTGTTAGACAAGAAATAGAAATAAAGGAGAATTATCTCTATTTGCAGATGACGTGATCTTATTTGTAGAAAACCCTAAAGAATCACATGAAAACACTTTTAGAGCTATCAAAACAAATTCAGCAAAATTGCAGGATACAAAACCAACACATAAAAGTCAATTGCATCTCTATACACTAGCAATGAACGATCCAAAAAGGAAATTAAGAAAAACATTCCATTTGCAAGATCATCAAAAAGAATAAAATACTTAGAAATAAATTTAACCAAAGGGGTGGAAGACTTGTACTCTGAAATGTGACTGAAAGAAATTAAAGAAGACCTAAATAAATGGAAAGACCTCTGTGTTCATGGGTTGGAAGCCTTAATGTTGTTAGGATGTCAATATTCCCCAAAATGATTTACAGACTCAGTGCAATCTCTATCAAAGCTCCAACGACATTTTTTGAAGAAATAGAAAAATCTATCCTAAAATTCATATGGAATTACAAGGGACCTGAATAGACAAAATAATCTTGAAAAAAAAAAGTTGGACTCACACTTCCTGATTTCAAGACTTACTACAAAGCTACAGTTATCAGGAGAGTGTGATTCTGGCAGAAAAATATAGCTCAATGGAAAAGGACTGAGACTCAAGAAATAAACTCTCATATATTTGGTCAATTGACTTTCAACAAGGTGAAAATACCATTTCAATGGAGAATAGTGTTTTGAGCAAATGGTGCTGGGAAAACTGGATATCCACGTGCAAAAGAACGAAGGTGGGCCCTCACCCAAGTGTCCATCAAGAGATAAACGGAATATGGTTTAGACACAATGGAATATTAACCAGCCATAAAAAGGAAAGAAGCACTAACACATTATAGTGTGGACAGACCTTGAAAACAGCAGGTAAAGTGAGATAAACCAGTTACCGCAGGACACATGGTCTATGATTCCACTTGTAGGAGCTTTCCAGAAGAAAAGTGATAGCCATGTGAAGTAGAGTAGAGGTTCCCATGGCCTGAGGGGTGAGGGAAAGGAAGTTATTGCTTCATGGATACAGAGTCTTTGGGATGATAAAAAAGTTCTGGACGCAGATAGTGTGATGGTTGCACAGCACTGTGAATATGCTTAATGTCACCAAATTGTACACTTAAAAATGGTTAAAATGGAAAATTTTGTCTTACGTATATTTTGCCACAATAAAAAAAATTTGAAGAGGACTTGACAGCGCCATGTATGATTTATAGTTCATCCTAAATTTACGTAATTGTGGTGGTCATTGTGTTGGCTATTTCTCTTTATTCAAAGGAAAAATTTTAAAATTCCCATATCTCTGTGACAAGCAGGAGTTATAGCTCGGCCAGGCCCTAGGTCACAGTCCCAAGACAAGGAGAGAGGGCGCCGTCTTCCTTGCTGCTTACATTTCAAAGAGACGGATCCCAGACTATGAATGAAAACATTCCTGGGTCGTAAAACTGGCAAGGGATATTTTAACTTTTCAGAAGGTTTACATACATCTCGAAGGGACAGAAAGAATTTTCAAATTTTCTAAAGGAAATGCTCTAAGAAAACGCAGGGTGGGGCGTCTCCATCTTGGATTTGCATTTACTCTTATAACACCTAGAGGAAAGGTGTCCTGGCCAGAGGGAAGAGCCGGCGCAAAGGCCCCGAGGTGGGTACCGTGGATTCACGTGAGAGGAGGGTCCGGCAGAGGGACAGAGAGCGGAGAGGTGGAGGGGGCCTCCTAGCCATTGAGAAGAAGTCGGCTTTTGGCCCCAGTGAGGTGAGGCCGAGGGAGAAGTCTGCGGCGAGGACGGGAGCGGGTGGAGGGCGGACGCGGTGAGAGCGGGTGGACGCTGCTGCGATAGCCCAGCGAGAGGCCGGCGGCAGCCTGGAGGTGGCGAGGCTGCTTGGGTTGGGCAGATATTCCAGAGGCAGGGCCCACGGGATCTCCCGGTGGAGCAGGCTAGCAGCGGAAGAGGAATAGGAGCTGGGCATAACCTCGGCCTTTGATCTGAGCACCTGGGAGCATGGCCCTGAGGCCGCCCGCGATGGGGAAGGGAACAGGGAGCGCCCTGGGGTGGGGCGCCCAGGAATTCTGTCCGGGGCACGGTCGGCTGCGTTTTCGTGAGGAGGCCAGAAGAGCTGTCGCGGCGGCAAGACCCCAGCGTGGGCCCCGTGGGCATCCCGCCGAGGTGCTGGGTGAGGCCACCGGGGAGGGAGGACGGCCAAGTTCCGGGCCACCAAGGACGAGCAGCCGGAGGTGGGGACGGGCCTTGACGAGATGAGCTCTGGGGGAGAAGCCTGACCCGAGAGGGTCTGGGGAGGGAGTGGACAGGGAGGGCGCGCAGACACCTCCGGGGTTAGCTGGGGAGGAACAAAGAAATGGTGGTGCCTCGGAGGTGATGCGCGATCAGAGGGTTTTGGGGTTGGGGTTTCTAGTTTGCAGGAATGACACGTGTACAAGCCGGCGGGCGGCCGCTGCGAACCGGGTTCTGCGGTGAGCGGGGCGCCGGGGCTCGGCCTGGGGCCACCTCCGCCTGGGGACGTCGTGGAGAAGCCGGGCTCCAGGGCCCCAGCCCCGGCCGCCAGGCGCCATCGCAGGCGGGGCAGGGAGCCGGGGGTCCCCGGCAGCGGCGCGCGGGCGTGGGCGGCCGCACCCACTCCGGCCCGGGCCGCACGGCCGCCCGCACTTGCCCTCTGGCGGCGGAAGCGCGCAGCGCGTGTCGAGCAGGGAACCTGGACCCGTTCAGCTTCCGTAAGACCGCGATTATTTCAACGCTGGTTTTGAATCTCTGCTTGTTACTTTGAGACGACTGGATTTTCCCCTAAAACTCTCCATCGTGTAGATTTCAGCGTGCTGCTGTCTGGGTCTCCTTGGGCACCGCGACGAACAGCGCGAGGACAGGACCCAGCAGACCGTGGGGCGCGTCGGGCAGCGGTGCGCGCCGTGCGGTGGGGACCCCGGGGAGCCGGGGCGCGATGAGGCGGCGGGCCCCGGGCCCGGGCGTGGGTGTGCGGGGAGCGCAGGGCGCTCATTCCCGGAGGCGCGAGGGAGGAAAACGGGCTGCGAGGTGCGAGAAAGAGTCACACGGACGTGGGGTGGGCGGCCGCGGGATGGGGAGATGCGGGAGGCCCAAGACCGTCGCCGGGCGTTCTGGTCACGGCTGGCTGGGCGGGGACCAGGCAGTGACCACTGGGGAGGGCGTGTGCCCCAGCCATTTGGGGAAGGGGTGCTGGGGGCAAACGAGCCGAGTGCTCAGGGCGGTGGGCACCTGTCTCTCCAGCGAAACCACCGTCACTCGGCGCCTTGGGAGAGCGTCCTCCTCGGTGGCTCCGACCCGCCCCGGCGCCCCAGGAGCAAGGGGGGTCTGGGGCAGGGGGCTCTGTTCCAACTGGAAGGGGCGGGACTGGGCGGGTCCGGGGGCGGGGCGACCGCGTGGTTACCCCCCCAACACCCCGCTTCTGCCCCCACGCCCGATTTCGAGGTCTGCTGTCCCCCAGGTCCCTGTGGGCGGGCTGGGGAGGGTCGCGGTTCCCCTTGGCGGTCGGCAGCGGGGACCCAGGTGCGGTAGTGAGGGGGAGCAGCTGCAGGGGCGGGCCCGGCGACCTCGAAGTCGGAGGAGGGAGCTGCCCCGGGGCACGGGGCTCGGGCTTGGCAGAGAGGCCCTGGAGGGCGAGGGGAAGGGGCCGCGTCTGCTGTGGGGAAGGGCGGCCCTGTGGCTGGAGGTTAGGGAGGGGTTGAGGAGCTTAGCGCCTCCTCCACCGGCAGGGCCAGGGAAGGGGCTCAAGGCCTCCGGCTCCCCTCCCCTCCCACTCCTTGCTTTGGCCTTTATTCGGGGGAAATTCTTTCAGGACACCTCCCTTGTCTTGGGCCCCCAGGTTCCCAGTGCAAGTGTCTTTTGCTGCTGACCGACCTCAGACCCGGCCCTCCTGGAGATCTCCTCTCCCTCGGGATCCCTGTGGCCTCCTACCCAGTTCCCACGTAGCCTGACCCACCAGGACCAGGTTGGGAGGTGAGGGGGGTGCATGCGCAAGGCTGTGCGCGGGTGGAGTCGGGAGACCACAGAGGAGGCGAGCGGGGGAACTCACCCCAGAGAGAAAGCTCGGGCAAACGCAAAAACTGCCTGAAATATATTTTTTGAAGTATTTTATTTATCTAATTTTTAATTATCATACAGTAAAGTTGACTT